AGGAATTTCAGTATAGATTCAAGAAGTTCACTGTAGTAATAATTAGAAAATTGAAGAGTCTCTTCTAAGTGGCTAACATATCTGTCATTGCATCAGTTAACAACTGTATCTGATGACAGGGTAACAGGTATTTTTTTTATATTAGAAATTAATATCAGGAAACCATAATTTCCTCTAAATTAAGTAAAATATTTCAATGGGTTGTGCAGGTTCTCAGACTGGCACTTTGGAAGTTATCAGTTTGTTTGAAAGTACAGACTAGAATTGTCTCCTTAAGTGACAAACCATTGAACTGAGTGTCCTCATTTAGTTGCTTGAGCTTATTAGTCACTTCAAACGTATCTTCTGAGTTGTACTGAACAGGTCCAACAAAAAATCTTTAGCTCTACTTTCTCTGATTGCCAAATACCAACTACTTCAAACTGGCTACATATAAGAGTGGATTGGATCTGTGCAACCACTGTTTGCAAACAAAATTCACAAAGCTAAACTAAAATTCTCCAGAAAATCCAAATTGGGTTACAGTGTGAGAAGACTGAAAAGCAAGTGCAAACACACCTTGCCTGTGTGATTGAGCAACTTCTGAAGTAATGTGGTAGTTCATTATAGGTCAAAAAAACATGGAGAAATTTAATACAGTAGAAGCTAGAGCAAATGGTCCACAATATAAAGAAAAAGGACCATGGGAAGACCAGACTAAGCAATCTATGCTGAGAAGAGTGTCAGTCAGAAACATGAAGATAATCTATCACATTCCTCTCTTTATTCTGTTGCAGTCCAGCAAAGCAATAAGTATAAATATACACCTGGAAACCACTGGCTCCTCTTCCCATTTAACAGGAGTTTCCAGCCTATCCCTCTTTTTCTCAGTGACATAACAAAAGGAAACAACTAGGATCCATTGTACTAGCTGCAGACAGATTTCTGACAGCTAGAGCAACTACATGTTGCTGCAAGGATTCCCAAACTTTAATCATTTATGGTAGTCTCCAGTATCGAAGGATTCTTTCAGCTTCAGGAATTACACTAAAATAGAGAAGAAGAAGATATTTCTCTAGTTTTTCTGCACCTTTATTGTTGTTGACCTCTCCAGATAATTGGTTTTTTACTGCTTCATCAAGGTGTAACTACACTGTGCTAGATTCTGCTAGACAGCAGAAATCCCAAAGGCAGCAGCGCTCCAACTGGCAGCAGAGTGTGACTCTGCACCCATGTTTTAACCCACTGTTAGACAAAGGTAACCTAGCTCAAGAGGGACATCCCTGTGGTTTTCCTGAGGAGCTATCTCACCTGAGACACTGCCCACACAGTCCAACACTGCCTCATAAATGCACAACCTCACTTGGAAAATTGTATGGAATCTCCCAGAGAGTACTTCTTTACAACATAGCAGCCTTCCTGGAGCTCTGAATATCCATTACTCCTTCCAGTGCCAAAGTTACTTCCTCTAATTTAAGCTCTTATAATAGACTCCACAGAGAAGTCCTGGTGTTTTTTATTATTTTTAAATACTTAATTTAAGTTTGAATGTCACAGTAGGTCTTACCTCCAGTCATCTTTGGTTAAATTTCCCAGGATGTTCATCTCTTCTTCTTGCATGAGTCTATAAGCAGCACTTACATGATGATTTTCAAGAACAGAACGATCATTGTACAATATTGCAGCATCTGACCTAGTGTTCAAACAAACAAACAAAGGCAGAATTTACAAGAGTATCCTGATGATCCCACTGGGGAAGGTTGCAATGGTATGTACGGTATGATACCAATGAATCTAACAATTTTAAATGCAATTGGAAACTTTATTTAGAGGGAACAAACCATAACCTACCTAAATAATAGACTTGTTCACACCTACAATCTTTCTAATATCATGGGAAAAAACATGATTTCCCAATCACATGTGTTTATGAAGCACACTCTTACCCACATAGCTACTTAAGGCTAGTCTTAAATAGTTCTAAGATTTGCTATGACTGCTTTTCTCAGGCAAAAAAAGCCTGGAATCACTACACTGGGATACCACACGAGGATCAGGTTCCACTAAGAGAGAAGACTGAGCTCCATTACAAAACAACATATAAAATACCTGTTAGCAAGTATGCCCAAGTAAAACTCAAAGGCTAACAGCTTAACTCAAGTTTCCTCTTTTTCAATATTTCAGAGCAAAATATTAAGGACCAAAATAGAAAAGTATTATAAACTTGGAACAACAAAATGAAGTTTATTTTTAGCCAAAATATGAAAATAATTATGTCTTTAGTTATGCTGCAGATCTAGAATTCATTATTTAAGAGCACATCTAAGGGCACAGTATGTAATGGATATAAATTAAATGTAACCATTGGGCATTTTATCTGTATAGGTGAGTGCAAGGATATTTCCATTCAAAGTAGTAGTATTTCTAACACTAGAATATGCCAGTGCTTTGCTTAATTATTTTTTTTTTCAAAAGCAAGTGGACTCCTCAACTGAGGATACTAAAACCAAGGTATAGCTTCATGTGAGAGAACAATAAGATGTTTTCTACTAGGGTAAGTATGAGATGTACCATTTAACACCCCATAATGGACTAGTCACTGTTTTCCTTTGATAAGCTGAAAATATTTTAAGGGGGAGAGATCTATACCATTGTTCTGGACCAGAGGCTAGGATGAAACACCATGCCTGCATAAGAATACAGTTAGCCTGACTTTCAAGCTGGATTTCTTTCTCAATTTCTTTTTTGTATCTACTGCAGATGCTATTAAGATAAGCTAGGAGAGGGCTCTTGGTAAGGATTTCTAAAGCTGTACCTGAAGGCTGTACTACGAGCCTGTAAGTTTAATACACAACTTGACAAAGTGCAGCACCTGAATTTAAGAGCAGACATGTTGCTGAAAGTGAGGTGGTATTTTTCTGGGGACACCATGAAAGAAATGTTTGTGTCAGACTTGTCACATTTTAAGCAAGCAAAGAGAGGAGTGACAGGTTTCCAAGTCCATTCTCTGAATCTTTTTTAAGTCTTCCCTGACATATCAGCTCCAAAATATATTTCAAATACTATGGAGCTAACTCCTTACTTTGCCACACTGTTTCTGTTCAAGTGAGCAATCTCATTAACTGTACACAAATCAAGGAAGCCTTGTAAAATCAGGAATGACATGGCTACTTCCTGACTGCATCAGTAAGAGGTATGAAATAGTTCAGACCAATGAACAGCAAACTCCAGATATGACGCTTCAGAGACCACTTCACTTACCTTGTCTGAATATGAAAATTGTTTGTGGTCCCTGTATGTTCATAATCATGGATGGCAGCTGCAAAGATCATTGCTAAAATTTCCAGTTCTGTGAGCCAGTGCTGGTAAAAAAAAAGAAAATCTTAGTCATATTTTCTAAAACAGCCTATTTCAGATTAAACACTGCAGTACTGGAAATAATTTGCATTACCTTAAACTTCAGTAAACTATTCCTGTCTTATTCCAAGTAACTATATCCATAACACTTCAGTATTACACAGGAAAATCACTCCTTGTACTTATAATTTCTCTAAGACCAATGGCCTTATGGTCACTAGCAAAGTAAATATTGGCAAACCAAAATACAATAAGTTATTAAGATCATTGCATGGTATACTTCATAGATGTTTTGAGTAGAAAGAATCTAATCTCCTAGCCCATATATGACACTCGCCAAATTATGCTATATTAATCTAAAAACTTGATATGAAGTTAATGTTACAATTTGTCTTTTAGTGAACAATGTATACAGTTTATAATAAATTCTAGGGACAACATCAGCATTAACTATATTTTACTAGTATACACAACAGTAAAATTAAGCCCATGGAAGAATTTTGTTTTAAATTTTTTCATACTTCATATTAGCATAAGGCTAGTATAGAGTTACATAGAGCAAAAGTTAATACAGGTAATGTATACAAGATAACTAAGACCCCAGAGTTTTGTGCACTTTCATACCTCTTGCTAACTGAGGTTGTTCTGTATCACTCAGTTTGTAAAACAATCTGTTATTTTATCTTTCAAGATCTATTTCTTGAATGAGAGATTATCCTTGAGGAGAAAATTAACTGTATCAAAAAATGGGGGTAGAACAATAATATGACAATTAACCCCCACAGTCATAGGACTGATTAAGTCAAATGTCAGTCAAGCATTTCCACACATATTTCAGATTTTTTTAGTGTAAAAGCAAGCTTCTGTAGCAAAAGATCAAAGAATTATCTGATCCTTACACACCCATATATGCACATACATGTGTATGAATGGATATAAGATGTATAAGCTGCCAGAAATAGTATGAACTGCCAACAGCAGTACTTCTTTCAAAGAAGAAAGGAAACAGTCAAAATTCTTAAGTAATTTGAGAATAACGAAAAAGGTCATTCAGTGACAAAATAAGACTGCTAAGGAACAACAAGTACTGGCTGTTGGTGAAGCAGTATAGATTAAAAAAGGTCACAACAGAGGAATGAAAGTGTACTGTAAACAGTTCTAAAAATGGAAACCATGGCCTTCATTGTATTGTGTGTCACAAGAAAAAAGCCATGACCAGTCCTGGCTTCCACAATGCTTTCAACATACCAAATAAAATAGAAATCCAGCAATTATTAGTAACTAAAGTTAAACCAAACTTTTTCTCTTTACAAAGATCAACTTTTTAAGTAACCAAAATAGCTGCTAGACAATGCATTTATAAATAGAAGATCATTCCTTACAAACAGTATGCATGCACTAGACAAACTTCATACTGTGCTATATGAGAGCAAGTATTCTTGAGACTGTAGCTCTATAGTAAAAATTCAGATCAGTACTCAAATCAGAGAATCAGAGAACTTCTTTAGCTAAAGGATTTGTAAGGAAGCAGGAGAAAGCTCTTACAGCAGCAGTTAACAAGTGTTTTTCTTTTGAGAGGGAGAGGGAAAAGCAGGTATCTGGGGTCCACAAGACTGTGAAGAGCTGGAACCTGCTGTCCTCCTAGAAGATAGTGTGCCATGCAGGTGCAAGACCTATTGGAAAAGATCTCCTCTAATGAGAGATATTTTCCAGTATTATGAATAGCTTATAATTAAACACATGTATTACAACTTTTGAAGAACTCTGGTTCAAACTATTTAAAAAAAAATGATGGGTTCAAAAATTATTAAGAAAGGGAGTCTCACAATCCACTTATTGACAGTAAAGAATTTTTTTCCGCTAGTTAGAGCTATACAGGTACGTGGGAGGAGAAAAGGGATGGTGGGAAGATGATCGATGACTCAAAAGTTCTTTACAACATGTATTCCCAGGGACTTGGGTTCTTACATCTTTATAAAGATGAAGACTTCACAAATGCGAGCTTGAGTTACATATTTCAGTCATATCATCTGGGATTTAATCTCTTAGGGAAGTTAATAGATTGTGTGCCATCTGTGATATCTAACTTTCTAACACATTTATCTGAGGTGGTTGGATCTTGTTTCTTAAGATAGACAGTAACTTTTGGAAAATACAATTGTAATTTTATTTCTTTAAATGTGACTCTGAATATGTCTTATTATTCACTGGAATCTCACTAAAGGCTCTAACTCTAACCCACCAAAATTTCTGGCAAATGCTGAAATATGGCTGCTTTCCAGGTGCCTATAGAAGATACAAAATGTATGACCTCAACAACAGGAACTTTGAAAAGGTTTTTCTAAAACCCATCTTTTTGAAACATTTGCTTCAGTATGTCTTTCAGAAGTGACCAAGGAAGGCAGCAATTTTTTTGCAAGATTTGAAAGTCAGTATCAGTTCCTTAAACGACAAAGAAAGCAAAGTAACTTTAAATCACACACCGATCTGCAAAAAATACACAGGAGTTTGATACAGAATTGCATCAAATTGACTCCAATCCAGGTATTTGTTAGAAGATGGAGCAGGGTTTAAGAGGCATTACAATGTACATACTCTGAAAACTATTGGCTTAAGAAGCAAACTTCAAACAGTTATTGAGTTCTGTAGGGTAAACCAGGCAATAGTAAAAAAAAACCCAACAAGTTAAATAGAACATTTGCATGATACTGATGTGTTCTCAAACTGCAAATGGTATTTGGGACAGAAATACTTTGCAAGCTGCAGAATCGCTAAGTCTTCTTTCAGACACTGATTTCTATAAATGCTCCTTCTGCCTGGCAAACTACATCTGTTTGAAGGCACTCCTGACTAAGTGTTGTCCTAGTCAGACATCTTTCCCAGAACTTTCCAATATCATAATTTAGAAATTCAAATGTGATTATTTAAAACCTGGCACAATTTTATAGGAATATTTTGTAGCAGTGTTGCAAAATTAATCAGGTTTTACAGCAAAGTAACAGCAATAAAGTCTAAGACTTTCTGAAAATAGTTTTCCAAATCACATCAAAGTTCAGTTACAAAGTTAAGATGCTAACAGTGTAAAACTTGGGTTGAACAAGCCTCTCTTATCTCCTGTGCACTCAGTGGAACAGCAGATATTCAAATATAAATTAGGTTCCTTTATTCAGTGTTCAGAGATTTCCAAAGTGTGTTGCAAAGGTTTCTAATAAGTGGCTAGAAATTCCAAATTGACTGGGATAGCTCTGGAAGTTGCAACTTTGTCCTTATATCTCAAAGAAAATATGGATGCTATTGTCTTTTTTGAAGGGCTGAGGGCCACAGTTGCAACAGGCCAAAGAGATGTTTATAATGGATAATACAGTAGATATTCCTTCCTGTCAAGTTGCCAATCCAGATGTACAATTGCATCAAAGACGTCTCATATCATTTCATGCTTGCAGCTGATCTTACAGTAGAAGACAAAGGTAGGATAGGAACCATGATCTAATCTCTTCAAGCTTTTTCTTTTATTAAATTATTATTCTGATAGATTAACATCTTATACAACAATTACGTTTTGAAGTGATCTTGGCAAGAGCTGCCTAGCCTATTCTTCAGTTTGGTATGGAAGTCCTTTCTCAAGAAAACATATCAATAAGAAAAAGAAATCTTGTCTTTTGAAGACTCCAGGTTTTAGGCTGCAAGTAATACTTGTGTTAAAATACTTTTTGTTTTCAAGAAACGTATTCCTAGTGAGGACAGGTAATGAAAAGTCATTGACTGAAATGTCTGTTTTCTTTCAGTCAGCATTTACTTTTGTCTACCAAGCAGATATTGGGAAGATTCCCACTGCTGGTATTGAATCAAAGGTAAGTGTTTAGAGTAAAAATGCTCACCCAGACTCCTTTCAGTTTCCAAAGCAAAGACTAAAAAATATTGGGATATTGCAAAGTGCAAGGCAGTTGCAATCTCCTGCATGCTATAGGCACATACAGTATGGAAGAGCAGTCCTAAACAACCTTAGAAACAAACTAAGAGAAAAAACAGCTGCAGGGTATTTGAGAAAGCCTGTGCTGATTCAGTGTATCTTTCAATGGCCAGGACCTCAGCAGATACTAAAACTTCCTTGCCTGATCACACCTCCCAGGCTCTGATGTGGAAGTGAAAAATTCTCACCTGCCCACTCCAGCAAATGTGATATATAGTGTGATATATAATGCCTTAGCCCAGGCAAGGAAAAGCAAAAGGACTTAAGGAGGATTTTTTTCTCTTTTTTTCCTCTGTATCAGGAGTGTTCCAGCCTGGAAAAACTGTTAAAATTACATTAAGTTCACATCATGAATGGTAGTTTTGAATCTATCTCTGCACAATTTTCAAGGGAGCTTTTTCCTTAAAAACAGATGAATGTACATATGTATCTAAAACAGGAGAAGCTCAGAAAAGAAGTAAATTAAACTTTGCAATATTTCTTACCATGATACCAGTGTGAATCATTATGTAATGCACAGTCTGAGTAACATCAGCTGCATGGATCAAATTGTGATATGGATTTTTGTACTTGCTGTAACCAACTTCAAGAGCTTCAGCAAATGAAATAAGATTGGGAACAGGGATCTAGGGGGGAAGCAAAAAATTTTTAAATATGGGGTCTTTTCCTGCAACCACGACAAAGTTAATCATGCAATAAATAGAATGCAAATGAATACAACATAGAATTTAGTTAACAGAGAACAAAGTAAAATGTAAAGCTCTAATATCCTACATGCATCGGGGAGTCTTCACCCAATTCTTGTAGATGTTCTATCCTTCTGCCTACACCATGTGTGGCATATGGCTAGTGCAGAAGAGACTGCAGAGCTCTAAACCTAATAGTTTTCAAGACATGTCTGTCTGTACCAGCAATGAACAGATTGCTCACATACTAAAGGCATAACAGATAGGAGTGTAACAATAGGATTACCTCCTTTTCTTCACCAGTTTTACCTTGCCTAAGACAAGGATTCCTTGAATTTGACAATCTGCCTTCCCTTCCTTCTCTTCTAGGCAGTGTATGAAACACAGGTACTATCTAATCCCATTTTTATCCCATATAGTAAAATTACATTTTCCTACATATTTTTATTTATTTATTTAAATGCCCTGCAAGATACATAGTAGGACAGAGAACGGGTGTAAGCCCACTGAGTCGGCAACATTGTGCACTTTCTGACCAAGCTGCAAATGGTACACCTGTTGTAGTTCTGACTTCAAGCACCCAAAGCTTGAAGGGAATAATTGAAGGGAAAGGCTGAGACTGAGTTATTGGTTAAAATAAAAGTATTCCAACCAACTTCAGGGTGACACAGCCTTTTCAAATGGAGCATGGAGTTTTGCAGTGGACATTTTAAAACTGCAATGGAACTCATTCCATACTATTATAATGATGAATTTGGCACTTTGATCCATTTTTTTTTATCTCAGCCTGTTGGAGTCAGTTATAAATACTCCATATTGTATTACAACACTCTGCAAACACTACAAAAAAACAGCTTTCTATTCATATATCCCCCAAGTTGGTTAGGATCCCATCCCAAACTGACTTGACATGGGTCTACACAGCATTCTAATTTTTGGATTGCAAAAAAATTTGCATGCTGTGGGTGACATTCCATTTGGTAGAATGGTGATTTGTCATATTCTGTGAAATTCTGCACTGCATTGTTCAGTAATTTCAAACATACCCTGGATTTCTCGTATTTTAAATTTGACATGCTTGATTTTACATACATATCTTTATTTTGACTGGTTTCTGACCTTGAAACGGCTGAAAAGGTCGTATCGGGTGAACAGCTCATACACCATAAATTTCAGACTGTGCTCTCCACTTGCTTCATTCAGGGCAAACACGTCAAAAGACCATTTATCAACATCCTGTAGATGACAGGAAAAGAAAAAGAACATCAATTTCCCATCTGTTTAAGCAGGTTTCCAGTTAACCATTAAAAAGATGTTTGGGGGTTTTTTGGGGGGGAAGAGTTTGATGATATTTTGTTGTCCAACTCTTTCAAAATCTTACTGAAGGTAACACATTAATGACTATTTCAATAATAACGATGAAAATAGTTGTGGCAGTTATGAATAAAACACTGGAAACATGACCTATGCAACTTTGTATGCTTTGAATCCAAGGCCTTAATCTTTCAAATTTCAATTGCTTTGTACAAATTGTCTACAGAATGTCATGGAGTTAATGTGAATACCCACCCTTTAAATAGGCTGTCATGCAGTTATTAACACTATAGCCATATATCAATTTGAGAATAATACAACAGTGTTTGATTTTCAGGAGAAAAGTTGAAGCACTATAGTCTCAAGACATACCATTTTTTTAATTGCACAGCTAGCCACAGAAACTTTACTACTATAACAGATTGCCTTTTGGGTGAACTACAATAATGCCTTAAATTCACAGCAAATACTGTACTTGTTCCATAAGCTACAGCTTCTTTTGTTAGCTCTATCCCAATCCTACTTCTCCTCTTTCTTTCCTAAAAAGGAAACAAATTCTGCTGAGGCACTGATTGCCATACCACTGGGAGCTGATAAAACCATGTCTCACATTTCTATACAAATTTCTATACAAATTTCATCCTACTGCTCCAATAACACGTAAAATGGAATCACAACTAACCCACAAAACAATAAAAAGAATCATAGGCTATTTGTGAATTTCTAACTAGTAACTTCTCTGTTCTTTGTGCTCAGTTCTGTAGTACTAAATATGGCTAAGTTATGTTCAGTAGAAAACTATCAATCTCATCCTAAAAGTCACTAAATACATACATTCAAATCCACAATGAGTAAACTTATTTCACCTTAAATGTTACTATCACTTCTGCTGGATAAGCCAAACCAACCATGCAAGAAGTTCTCCGGTACATCCTAAAAGAACAAATAAAATATTAAGTAATAGTATTCCTTTTAAAAGTACTGGAACAATTTATCTTCGTTTAATTAATCTTTTTTATGAACTTAAGAGAAAAGCCCCTCTGCTGGTGTATCATTCTTGTTTGTTAGTGAAGTCTTTGATACATTTTAATGTAGAAGTTTCCAAGCTGTGAAGTTCAATCCCAGAATTTTCCAAAGTCCAGAACATTTCATTACATTTAGAGGTTCCATCTGGATTTCTGTGTAGAAAAATACATTGATTGCAGAAATTGAAACCTAACTCCTGGGTCAGTGATTTCCTTCAGCTTCATCCCACCACTTAAACGATTTTCAACAACAGTTACTGTGGTTAAATGTGGTACTTTCTATTACAAGAAAACAAAGCTCTCACCTTTCTACAAAGATCCCAGCCTGTACAGCATGCACAATACTTCGGAATTTTGGCTTTTCTTCAGACCTCCTCTTCACTATTCCCATTTCCCTTGTGAATGTGGAAGCTAACCAGTCCCGCACTTCCAGTGGGACCGAATCCGACTGGATGTCAGAGAGCTCATCCTCAGTGTCCAAAAGCTTTCTACAAAAAAATTAATAAGAGGTAACTGAGAGGATGGCAGACTTGGGCAAAAGGAGTATGGACAGGTGAAGAGGTATCAAAACTTAAATCAACAGGAGCAGAGGTTGCCTGTAGAATTGGCTCAGCAAATCACTAAATGTTTTCACTGACAGACGTACTGAGGCCACTGGGAAGCTGGGCACAGAAGACATCTTCACTCTCTCCCCCTTCTCAGAAAGTAAAAGATACTCAAATAGAAGATATTCAAGTAAAGGCATATGAAGATTTTTCTACAGAGCTGTCACAGCTTTGGTGTATTGAAGCATAAACAATGAGTTATACAGTCCTGAGGAGAGGACTAAAACAGTGGCTGACATGAGCACCTATAGAAAGAGAGGTCACTGCTGTAACAGAACATCAGTGGTCCATCTGACCGGCCCTCTAAAATGGTACAAAAAATGTCTTCATACTTACGTGCAAAGTAAATTGTATTACATAACAATGCTATGGAAAATGCATTTAATTGAGCATCCTGTATACATGTTCATAATCTTATTCCATTGTAATATAGGTATTTGAAGGAATTAATTTCTTATGTGTGCAGATCAGTATTCCTATTGAAGGCAAGGTAACAAAACTATAGCAGTAAATATATTCCACAAGATTAGATTATAAGTCAGTTTTCACAGTTCTTAATTTTTCAAAAAGTTAGAATAGCTAGGGACACCTCTTGCAAAATAGAAGTATTAAAATAGAAGTGTTAAAAAAGAAACTTCAACGGAACTGAATTGGACATCAACCTATTGAGAAGAAAAATGTAATGAATTATTCTTTTAAAACAGACTCAACACTTAAATTCAACTCGACACTTCTATAAACCTATCAGATGTAGGTACACAACCATTTTCTTGCTGTTATTTGCCCGTATCTCTCAGCCTGCTGGGTTTCTTTCCAAGAACCAAATCCTTTATTTAGTCACATAACAATTTTTCCTTCATGCAGTTATGCAAGAAACTCCAGAGCTAAGATGACCTGAGCATATGTAAGGCATGTCACCCTTTTAAAATATTATAAGCAGCACCAATTGAATTGCAAGAATTATATGATTACATAGATCTGCTTCTCTGCTGATGTCTTTTTGAAACTGCTCGGGTTGACATGAATTGGACACAAAGCAGTGATGGACAAAGTAGTTTGAGTGTGATTTTCTTATCAGACAATCCTTTTGCCAATTTAAATCTTGGGTCTCTTCTAAGTGAACAGGATTCATGGGAAATATTTTTGGTGAGAATTCAGCCAACAGATAGGTATTTGTGAGAGGAAAATTATCAACTCTTTTTCCATTTTCATGTTGTCATCTCTGCTACTGTATTTTCTTTCGACTGCTAGCTGAACTGCTGATTGCTCACCTTATTTGTGCATTCTCTGCTCATATTCAGTGGCTCTTCTTTCACATGTTTTGCTTTCTTTATTTCTCTCCTTCAAGGATTTCAAACCTTTGCCTAATCCAAGGTCTTCTTTGGCATGTAGATTAATGGAGCAGAAATGTGGATGATGAAGAAAAGCCTAAATACAGTATATTTCAAAGGAATCCTCATACAAATCTAATCCTGTCTGAGGGACTTTAGGAAGATGTCTAGTAGGAAATGTGATACCAGAAGTGTCACATAAATAATTTGTGAACAATGAGTGTAAAACAGTGTTCATCTGTCCAGTTGTCAGTTTCAGCAGCTCATATGGCTGGCAGTGTATTTTGTGAGACTTTTCAATTGGGGTTTAAAAAAAATAATCCATAAAATGCCCTCCAAAACACTGCAGGAATGTTCCAGTTTAAAGGCACATGAATTATCAGATTAGGAAGGCTGTTTATCACAGAGTGCAAAAGAAGCAGAATGGACAAATATGATGAGATTTTCTGACAGTGGGTCATGAGCCAAAAGTCAGTAGTTTTTTTGGAGGTGCAAGATTTGTGCAGAGGAAAGGATCTGAGCAAATTACCTTGCAAAACTGAACCAAGACTGAGACTGGCCATAGGTCAAAGCCTATACATTGAATTTATTCCCTAAATTAAACACATTTCTGAGGAATATGTGACATTTGGTGCATTTGTAGTGTAATAAGGAATAAACCTTATAATCCTAAACCATATTATTGTAACTATTGAAATTATGAAATTATTCCAGCAATAAAAGGTCTATGGACATTAGGCTGCCTCAGAGCATGCAGTACATACTGCACATCACTTGTGCAGTGTGAAACAGAACTCTGTATCAGTTTGCAAATCTGATGAAGATGTGAATTTGGGACCAAGTGCTGAATTCTGCACATATGAGCTGCTGGAATACAAATTAAGGCTAGCGAGACACACTACAGTTTCTCTGATCTTTTTAATGATCTATAAAAGACTATTCAGTCTGCAAATGACAGTAATAGGAGTTACTTTATGAAAACAGAACAGAGAAAACAGAACTTGAAAAAAGTGTTTCTTTAACCAGTAATTTTCATGAAACCACTGCTGTCTGATGAGAGGTGACTGAACAATATGTTATGGAAGAAAGTTTCAGTGCCTCTGATTCCTACTTAAATAGTAAAGCAAGTGCAACACAGAACCATGTTGTAAGCACAATCCTTTATAAGTACAAGCTCTTACTGATCCCTCAACACATAACCTTAGTAACTTCTCAAAAAGAATTAGCTACTTTCATAAGCCTAACTGAAACAACATTTAACAAAAGGCAACAAGGGGTAATTATTAATCTTGTAACTATTTCCTGACCTTTTGAAGACCAATATTCTTATGAGGCAAAATTAGTCATAGCATATGCACTGCTAGAAATGGCCTTTGAATACATTCACTAATGATTGCTATTCTTCTATAATTACAGAGACAGGGCATGTATATGTGTGTACACATGCGAATAAATGGATCATTATATGGATCTATAATTTCATGGTAATTTTACTTAGGAAGGGAAATAAATTAGGCAATATATTGCACCATGCAAACTATGTTTAATTATAAAAAATTCTTACAATCCAGTATTTGACTCATTTCATAGTTTTAAACTTTTGTCAACTTTATTCATCTATTTATACCTTGATTATAAAATATAGCACTGTCATTATATTTCCATGGGTGTGTATATCTATGTATACATATACAATATTGTGGATTCTGTTTAAATACGTGTAATTGTTCACCTTTTACTCACTGATTTTGAAAACATTTCTCTAAAATTACCAAATGAAGTGAATTTATATCTTGAGATGTAAAAAAATCAAATTGGTATACCAGTATGATTACTCTTTACAAAATGCTCATTATATATGTAAATTTTACTGAACATAGCAAAAGAAATCTTCAAAAGTATCAGAAATCTTTCACATTGACCAGAAGTACTAACAGTACTTCAGTACTTACTTTACCATAAGAGCTGAAATTTTCACCCGACAAGAACCAATGTTTAACTTGCTAGCCCCTGTCCTACTGATGCACATCACAGCAGTGAACGCTCCAAGTAAATCACAGAGCCCCTACGTGCTTGTCCCTGCTGTTACTACTTCTCTTGCTCGGAACGTAACCACAACACAAGCTGACTCTCCAAGCAGATGTATTATAACGTCGTTCTGATGCAATCACTGAGTATTAATACATCATCGCCATCTGAGATGGCAAGCATTTACTTTCTATTTTAAAGCTACACAGTTGTTCCACAAAGTCAGCCTTAAAGTAAAACTCTACTGAGATAAATCTCAAACAACTGGGAGGCATGAACTCCAATATCGTAATTGAATTAAATAAGTGTTACTATTACAAAGCACACACTTTAATTTTTTCTTTCCTAAAGCTAAGCAACACCTAAAAATGCCAACGAACAAAACAAAAAAGCTCTAATATTATATGCCACAGAAAGTACTCCTTTTCAACACAAAGTCAGAATTTCAGAGTTAGATATCCTTTTTCTCAGTTGCAATTAGGCTATTAAGCACAGGCAATATGAGGAAGAGCTATGTGTGGGAAGGAGAGGGGGAGGCTTGAGTTACTTAATTCTGTTAGTTCAGTGAGTGGAACTCCCATTGACAGCTGTGGGAATAAGTAAGATATAGCCCATGGCATTTCAGCTTAGCAATCAATTGAGATTGCAGTCACAGTAACTAATAATCTGATCTTCTTGTCATAGTAGTGTGTTTTTTGTCAAGAACAATTTTTTCAAAATTCAAGGAATGATAATTTCTCACTCTCTTTTCATTTAATCATGATTTTAAATATAGTAATTGACTAATCAGAATTATATTTCTTTTCCCTTAGGAATATATCAGATGTACTATGGAGAAGAAGAAAGAAAAGAAAATGAAAAATGAAAAAAATAAATTAGATAAAGGCTATGGGGAAAAAAAATCCATTAATGTTGATCAATCATGCAGCTTAAGAGACAGTGAAAAATTTCCAGAGGAGGGATTGAGAAGGAGGTATTAGCTCTTTACAATTTAGTGAATTAATCAAGTTAACAATCAACCCTTTAAAAGTGAATTGATCAAATTTCTCTTCTAGGTCTAGAATACAGAAGGCAAAGAATTCATACTCCAAATAGCCAGTTCAGATTATTATCAATTATTTCTGTTCTAGTATCTCACTGTCTTCCTTAAATGAGCATGAATCAATATATTCAGTCAATATTTACATCCTCTATAGTCTGCTACATTTCTACTAACATCCACTAAAAGATTCTCTAGATGTCTACTTGGGACAGACAAATTGTATACATGATTGAGATTCATTTTTTGTATATAAATGTCTTTCTAAAGGAAATTATTAATTTATCAACATGTTTTACTCTTAAACTTTAGCACATTCTCAGATGTATTGCCCTCATATTAAGAAACAATATATGGCAGACTCTGGATAAAACAGTTTTTAAGACACCAGATAAATAATGGAGTAAGAACCACTGCTACCAGAAGAATTCACCTGTCGATATGAATTGCCTATTCATAAACACAGATGTACATGACAAAGGCCA